TCGGGCCCTCTTGGAGGACGTCTTGGAGGGCTCTTGGGCCGTCTTGGAGGCCATCTTGAGCGTCTTGGAGGCCTCTTGGGCCGTCTTGGGGGCCTCTTGGGGCCGTGTCTTGGGCCTCTTGGGCGATCCTTGGGGGCACTTGGGCCGTCTCGGGCCGTCGGAAGGACGAACAAAAAGCAAATGCCACAATCCTTCAAACACCCATGGGAAATCACTGATTTTGGCTTTTTCCGGCCTTCCTGGAGGCCCTCTTGGAGGCCTCTTGAGCCTCCTTGGGCCATCTGAGGGCCATGTTCTGCCGTCTTGGTGGGCTCCTGGACCGTCTGACGCCGTCGGAAGCCGTGTGGGGGGCCTCTATGGGCCGACTTGGGGCCCTCTTGGAATGCTTCAGGGCCGTCTTGGAGGCCATCTTGGGCGTCTTAAAGGCCTCCTGTGCCGTCTTGGGGAGCCTCTTGGGGCCGTCTGGGGGCCCTCTTGGGCCGTTCTGGGGCGATCTTGGAGGCCTCTTGGGCGATCTTTCGGCGATCTTTGGGGGCTCTTGGGCCGTCTCGGGCCGTCGGAAGGCCGAAAAGAAGCAGATGTCAAATCCGTCAAACACCTTCGGAAAATCAAGGTTTTTGCCCTTTTCTGGCCTTCCTGGAGGCCCTCTTGGGGGCCTCTTGGGCCGTCATGGGGCCTCCTGGGGGCCTCTTGGGCGATCTTGGAGGCCGAGAAAAAGCAAATTCCCAAATCCTTCAAAAACATAAGAACAATCAATGATTTCGACCTCTTCGGGCCCTCCTGTAGGACCTCTTGGAGGCCTCTTGGGCCGTCTGGGAGGCCTCTGGGTGGCCTCTTGGGCCGTCGTGGGCCGTCTTGGACTCTCTTGGGCCGCCTTGGAGGCCGTCTTGGACCATCTTGGGCGGACTTGGAGGCCATCTTGGACCATCTTCGCGATTTTTTGAGGATGTCCCGAGCGAGCGGCACGGTGGCGGGACGGGCCGAAGCCCCAGGGGGAAATCTTTTTGGAAAAAGCTCCAAAACCAAAACCGAGAGGGTCCAACACGCCAGGCACCCCTTTGATAAATCAAAAGGGGGCGGCGGATCGAAGACGCCTACGGCGAATCACCGCCGCCCCCTGCCCTTTCGGAAGCGCCGATGCGGCCGACTGCTGTGGCCAGAGGTCTGCCAAGTTATTGGGCCATGGGCTCTTGGGCCGTCTTGGAGGCCTTTTGCCGGCCTTTTGGGCCGTCTGAGACCATCTTGAGGCCATCTTGGACCGTCTTGGGTGCATCTTGGAGCCATCTTACCCGTCTTGGAGGCCATCTTGGCCGTCTTGGAGGCATCTTGGAGGCCATCTTGGGCCATCTTGGCCGTCTTGGAGGCCATCTTGGGCGTCTTGGAGGCCTCTTGGGCCGTCTTGAGGCCCTCTTGGGGCCTTCTTGGGGGCCTCTTGGGCCGTCATGGGGCCATCTTGGAGGCCTCTTGGGTGCTGTTGGGGCGATGTTGGGGACCTCTTGGGCCGTCTTGGGCCGTCGGAGAGCTGAAAAGAAGAACATGCCAAAATCCTTGAAAAACCTAAGGAAAATCAATGATTTTAACCTATTCGGGCCTTCCTGGAGGGCGTCTTGGAGGGCTCTTGGGCCGTCTTGGAGGCCTTTTGCGGGCCTTTTGGGCCGTCGTAGACCATCTTGAGGCCATCTTGGGCCGTCTTGGGTGCATCTTGGAGCCATCTTACCCGTCTTGGAGGCCATCTTGGCCGTCTTGGAAGCATCTTGGAGGCCATCTTGGGCCATCTTGGCCGTCTTGGAGGCCATCTTGGGCCAAGTTGGGGCAACAAAGGCATTGACAGATGGATTTTCGGAAACTTGCGGGTGGCCGGCGGGACGGGCCGAAGCCCACTGGGGAGTTCTTTTAGAAAAAGAACCAAAACCAAAACCTGAAACATCCAGCACGCCGTGCACCCCTGTGGCAAGACCACAGGGGGCGGCGGATCGAAGACGCCTACGGCGAATCACCGCCGCCCCCTGCCTTTTTGGAAGCGCCTATGTGGCCGAACGTTGAGGCCAGACCTGCCAAGCTATCGGACCACGTGTTCCCCGAATCGGTTTGGAAAGCCTTCGGGGAACACGTGGGCATCTTGAAGGTCATCTTGGCCGTCTTGGAGGCCTCTTGGGCAAGCTTTGGGCGATCTTTGGGGCTTTTTGGGCCGTCTCGGGCCAGCTTCGAGCCAACTTCGGCCATCTTGGTGGGTTCCTGGCACGTCTGAAGCCGTCGGAAGCCGTTTGGGGGGCCTCTCTGGGCCGACTTGGGGCCCTCTGGGGGCGCTCAGGGCCGTCTTGGAGGCCATGTTGGGCGTCTTGGAGGCCTCTTGGGCCGTCTTGGGGCGCTCTTGGGGCCATAGGGCCTTCTTGGAGGCCTCTTGGGCGATCTTGGGGGCCTCTTGGGCCGTCGGAAGGCCGAAAAGAAGAAAACGCAAAAAACCGTCAAAAACCTAAGGAAAACAAATGATTTTGGCCTCTTCGGGCTCTCCTGGAGAACGTCTTGGAGGCCTCTTGGGCCATCTTGGAGGCATCTTGGGGCCATCTTGGCCGTCTTGGAGGGCATCTTGGGCCGTCTTGGAGGCATCTTGGAGCCATCTTACCCGTCTTGGAGGCCATCTTGGCCGTCTGGGAGGCATCTTGGAGGCCATCTTGGGCCATCTTGGCCGTCTTGGAGGCCATCTTGGGCCAAGTTGGGGCAACAAAGGCATTGACAGACGGATTTTGGGAAAATTACGGGTGGACGGCGGGACGGGCCGAAGCCCACTGGGGAGTTCTTTTAGAAAAAGAACCAAAACCAAAACCTGAAACATCCAGCACGCCGTGCACCCCTGTGGCAAGACCACAGGGGGCGGCGGATCTAGTGGCCATCGGCCCATCCCGCCACCGTACCTGAGTAGTGGTTCGGAGGTCTCATGGATTTTGGCTGCGATCTCGTGGTGGGCCTGTCGGAAGCATCTTGGAACCAGTCTTGAAGCCTATTGGGGCCCTTTAGGGGCCTCTTGGCGCCTGTTTTGGGTCTTTGGGGGGCATCTTCGGGCCTCTTGGGGGCGCTTTGGGGCCTCTCGGGGTCCTCTGGGCTCTGGGGGCCTCCTGCACCCCTCTCGAGGTTGAAAGCTAAAATTGTTGGTTCGTTGTCCCCCTCTTGGGCCCCTCTCGGGCCCGTCTTGAGGCGTTCTTGGGCCCGCTCGGGCCCGTATTCGAACCCTCTTGGGCCGTCTTGGGGGCCTCGGGCGGTCTTGGAGGCTTCTGGGGCGGTCTTGGAGCGCCAGTCCAGGGAAATCCAAGAGGACCGGAAGCCTGAAGAATGGCCCCGGAAAAGCGCCCCACGGGCCTGGGCAAGGCCGGGCCCGTGGGGCGCCTTTCAAGAGGATTATGAGGACCATGATTTGCGATTTGCCCACAACTCGCGGCACGCGGCAAGAGGCGCGGTAAACCAAACAAGTGGGCAGCATGGTTGCCAACAATCGGCCTGGGAGGAGGAGGAGGAGGAGGACAAGGAGGAAAAGGCACAGTAGGAAGAGCCTTGAGAGACACTTGCACTGAAACAGTGGGGAGCAGAACTGGCGGGGCATTTCATATCGATATCGAAATCCTGGGAATTCAAATCTGGCGGGGCATTTTGCATTGCTGCCTTGAGGAGCAAAATGCGGCGGGGCATTTGTAGTGCGTGGGACAGATTTTGACACAACAACGAAGGAAGCTGGCCTGGAGGCACATCGGGCCATAAAACGCAGAGGTTAGGCACGGCTGCGATTGCCGTACAACGCTGGAGCACTTCAGACGAGCCAGGAAGAGGAATCCGAAGACGGGACAAAAGGCGGGATGACGAAGGAAATAATACCTGCGGGGCGGATCTGGGGCTGCTCGACCCTGGGCGAATCCACGACGACGATCCTCCTATTGGCGCTGTGTCCCGCCACCGTGTTACGACACGCCACGCTGCCTAGGCGCGTGGAAGACGTATCCTGGTCTCGTCATCTTGCGTGGGTCGTCGTCGCCCACGAGATCGTCACGTCGGCTCCAAGAGGGGTGGTCGGCTCCCCTCGGGGGGGGGGGCTGCCCACGACACCGCCACGTCGGCTCCAAAAGGTGGAGTGGTCGACCCTCCCCGGGCGAAGGGAGCGGCCGCCACCTGGGGGAAAGCCAATCTGCTCCCCCCCAGACACGGGAGGGAAGCCGATCTGAGCAACGTCGCAGCTTACTCGAAGGGAAGCCCCTTCCCTTTAATCCCTTCCCCCCGAGGGGGGGGAGGGGGTGCGGGGGGGGGGAGGGGGGGCGGATACGCGGGGTGGGGTGGGGTGGGGGGGCACCTGGGCGGCTCCTTTCGGGAAAGGAGAGCGACCACGACGCGGAGGGGAGCGGCCGCGACCCGGGGGGGAAGCCAATCTGCTCCCCCCGGACACGGGGAGAAACCCAATCTGAGCAACGTCGTAGCATACTCGAAGGGAAGCCCCTTCCCTTTTATCCCTTTCCCCGGAGGGGGAGGTGGGGTCTGGGGGGAGTCCCACCTGGATAACCGGGGGGGGCACCCGAGCGGCTCCCTTTGGGGGAGGGGAGCGGCCGCGACGCGGAGGGGAAGCCAATCTGAACAACGTCGGTGTTTACTCGAAGCGGGGGGGTCCCGGAAGGGGGTCCCAAGGGGGTCCCGGGCCAGAATACCACCCTCCCGGGGCCCATGGCCCGCCCTCTCCCTCCCATTTCCGTCGAGGGCCGAAGCCTCCAGGGTTGGCGGCACCGGCCGTAAGGCGCCGTAAGGCCTTAGCAATACCTGCGGGGCGGATATGGGGCTGCTCGACCCTGGGCGAATCCACGACGACGGTCCTCCTATTGGCGCTGTGCCCCGCCACCGTGTTACGACACGCCACGCTGGCTATATATATATACATATATATATATATATATACCTATATATATACACATCTGTATGTTGTAACTGCATTCGATGTCATCCATGCCCCTACTCTCCCGCAGCCGAACCTTGCTGAGAACGATCGCAGCGTTCTGCGCGCGAGTAGTGTCGAGCACAGCAACTCCTTCAGGCTCCTTCGGCATGCACCGCCTCGGGGATGGGAACAAGCAAATACTCAAGATCTGCAGGCACCATGGCCTAAGACATACTCCAGCTGCAACCCGACGAAGTCACACGACATTGGGGAGAGGTCGGCGGCAACTTTCGCAAAAAGGTGAAATATGACACTGCGCCCCATCAGGACGACTAGAGAACATGTTTTTACAGAGATGCCACTGCACGATGCGCGAAAGGGGCAGAGACCGTGAGAATATGAAATATATTCTGAGCGTTCGGAGAGAGTGGGTGAGATAGTAACATTGTGCACGGAGGTCCACAATCGGAAAGCGTGGCGTGACGTCTCAATGGCTTAAATGATTCCGGATGCTCGGAAAAGGCGCTTGCCACTTGTCATCAGGAACCCCTTGCAGGCAGCGCAGCCCTGTGCTATCATTGCCACAAGCAAATCTGACAATGGCATTTTGCACCCACCGCCAGCGCAACAAATGACGCACAGCCGCCCGAGGTCCAAGAATCTCGGTTCCGCAACTGGTGGATACGCAAATGGAAAAAACAAGTCATCGTTTTCCCTTGAAAAGTCTTGCAAATATCATGTCTGCCCGCCTTGGCTGCTGGCCGACAGCAGCCTGCCTTGCCGGCGCAGGATTGCCCTCGAGCCACTGTGGAGCAGCCTCGCGGAAGCTGAGAGGTGATGTGTCCATTCCAACGAAGGTATATTCAATCGCCTTTTTCCAGTAGGACCCCTTCAGTGCAAGCACTGTCAAGAACACTTGGCACAGTAAAATCGTATATGTGTACACGTGTTACGCTGATGCGTCTGCAAATATACATAAACTATATATATATATATATATATAGATCGGCATCAATACTCACATACTCGTTGTCTCGCTCTCTCTTTCTCGTTCTATCTCTCTGTCTCTCTTGCCACGGCGCGGTTGGCAAGCGCCCAAGTCCTGGCCGATGTGGTGCGTGAAGTCGTGGATTTTGAAAGCTTGACTTGCCGCATTTTGCATCAGTATGGAACGTGCCAAGCTCTCCAATAACCCAAAACGCATTGTACATCGCGTAGAATTCCCGCGAGTGGCCCACCGGCGCAAGGTCGTGGTCTCTCTTATTGTCGCTGCTGGGAATCATTTCGAATCAGTGGCCAATGATATATGGAGGTGCGCAGCCTGCAACAAGCTGGTGCGGCCCACGCGCAATCTGCGCATGCCACTTCCGAGCGCCAAAGGCGGGCTCGAATGCGACGGATGGTGGGTTTGCAGGTCGGCAAAACGTCAATCGATGATGACCTTTGGTATAGACTTGAATTGACCGACCCCTCTCGACGCTTGCTTCCTCCAGCCTTCGTCCACGGGCACAGGGCACATGACAGCCACACCGCCTGGAGCAAAGGCTGCTTCAAATTCTGTGGGCCTCATGCGAATGTTGGGCGGAATCACATACTCGCGATTTGCGCATCTGGTTGATCCGGTGGCCCTCAAGGCATATTACAATGAAGCCCTGGGGAGGCTGGGACATGGCTAACCCCCCAAGAAGACATGCCTGGCCCAGGGGAGCACAGTCGATACCGCCATCGTCCTGCAATTTGTTTTTCTCACCTGTCGGCAATCTCTTCGGAAGCTTGTCTGGCAATAGTCCACAAGGAAAAATTGTTGGACGCCGGGCGGGGCTGCGCCAACCCGCCATCTGCTGACCTCGCCGCTGGCACAGGGCCAATTCTTCGCACCAAGCAGACCGGCCGGTCGAGCGCCATGGCGAGCCAGCCGATGTTTGCGTGGACGTCCTCAGAAAAGCCTTCGCCGTAGACCCCCGAGAGCTGCTCTTCCCAGTGCCGGATCTTGAAACGCTGCGAATGCGGCCCAAACCAACTGTTCTGTGTGGCTGCGTGCAGCACCTGACGCCACCTCCACAACCGCATGCCGCGGCAGCGGAGGGCTCGAGCTCGAGCTCGAGCTGCAGGGACCCTTCCCCTCTCTATCACTCTCTCTTGCTTCACTTGCCCTCGCCGTTCTCTACTCGATCTGCCCTCTGAAATGCTCCAGCCTCTCTCTCTCTCTCTCTCTCCCTCTATCTGCTATCTATACTTTCTACTTTGCAATATCTACCGTCTACTATCTACTCTCTACGCCGCCCGGGCTCACAAGGACCCGGGTCATTGGCCCGAGCGCAAGCAAAAGCACGAGAACCTGGGAACCTGGACGCATGGGGCCAAGAATCCGGGAACCCGGCCGCCCACCGAAATCGGCTGGGCATTGCCGCCACGCCCTTGCAATATCAGAAGCGGGGGGGCCTAGAAACCCGACCCGACCCTCTACCGACATTTCAGGAGCTCGGGCGCACAGGAATATGGCCGCCCACCTATATAGGCAGGATATGTGATGGCCTCGCTCCGACCAAGACTCCTTCACTGTAAGCGCTGACTGGGCAACACATCGTTGGGATCAGTCTTGCAAGACCGACGAGACCCTCGATATACTGCAGGAAGCTTCTCGCCTGCAGGGGCGCTTCATGGAGCACGACGTCCTCGCTCACCTCTACACAATGTATGCTTAACGCACCAGTTGCTACTTCCATTTCTGGATGGTACGATTGTGTGCCTGCGCTGCGCGGCATGGTCGAGATGCTCCTGATATGCCGGCTCTTGTTTACCTACCCACCCCCCCTCATCCCACCCACCCCTTCCTCCTCCTCCTCACTCCTCCTTTCTCTTCCCATTTCTCCTCCTCCTCATCATCATCATATTCCTTCCCTCTCCCCTTCCTTCCTCCCCTTTCTCCTTCCTCCTTCTTCTCCTCCTCCTCCACCTCCTCCTCCTCCTCCTTTTCCTCTTCCTCCTCCTTTTCCTCTTCTTCCTCCTCCCCATCATCATCATCATCATCATCATCATCATCGTCATCATGCTGATTTCCGTGGCCAATAGAACGATATCCCAGAGCGATACAATGCAAGCTTGCCACCACAAGTCACAGAGAGCTTTGAAACTGTGTCCCAGGGAGGGTTGGGTCGGGAACAACAGAAGGCTATGGAGCATGGCACGGGCGCGGCTGCTATGCACTGCTGCCTTCCCCCTACTCGTGTCTCAGAACGGCCCCCAGGTCATCATTACTGCGCACGCACTCTCATGATGATTTCCGTGGCCAATAGAACGATATCCCAGAGCGATACACTGCAAGCTTGCCACCACAAGTCACAGAGAACTTTGAATCTGTGCCCCGTACTTCCCCAAGGTAATGTCCCCAATATCACAGAGGTTTGGGCCTCGGACGAGCTCGGGAGGGAGAGGCCGTCGTTCCTGGCTGGGACGTCGATCGTGCCATTGAACATGCCATATGCTTTCAGGCCCAAAGGGATCTGAAGTTGTTCGCAATAGCGGAGCACAGGCGGGATGGGTAATGTTTAGCACGGTCCGTCTTCCAGCCACTTTTGTCTTTCATCTCTAGGTGCTCATGAGGCTTGCCCGTACGAGAGCACATTCCATGACATTTAGGCTGCAGGAAGGAGTCGTCAAAATCTGAGGACATGAGGAGGCCCGCCCGCTTCCTGAAGTCAGTCCCGAACTGGCGCTGGTCATAGCGGGGGAGGTCTCGATTCGCTGGGCCACGTTGCGTGCCGTCACGCCAGCAGGCCTCCTGCGAACCATGCCCGGCGCCCCCGTGACAACCCCAGGCATCAGGATGAACAAGCCCAGGAGGAGGGCGCCATGCAGGCCCAGCATCAGCCACTGCCGGCTCCCACTGCCGCGAAGGTCGATCTGCAGGATTGACCTCGGACGGGATCCAGCGGAACTGCGCCCGCAGCCCAGTGGCAAGCTGCAAAGCGGCCATCTGACGAAGCTGACCGAGGAGAGCTGGGTCGCGACATCGACCCTTCTGGAGCGCCAGCACCAGTCCCATGTTGTCGACCAGCATGAGGACCTTCCTGTGCCGCCAGCGGCCGCATCAGACCACCTGCTTGAGGCCGAGCTTCGCGCCCCTCGCCTCTTTGACATGGATGGCACCCTCGTGACTGCCACAAGGGCGCTTGGCGACCACGGCCCACTTCGCCTCCTTGACGGCGGCGGGCTCGACATCTGGGAAGTCCTCGACGGCCAGCCAGGCGCCCTCGTCGCTGTCAACTGTGAGGTTGCCGTCCCTATCGACCGGAGGCTCGGCGACGTCGTAGCCCGCCATGGCGACCTCCCTGTGCTTGCGCTGCGGGTCCTTTTTGAACCTCCAGCGCTCGTCGTGGGCGCCTGCGAGCTGGATAGCATGTGTGGGCCACTCCGCAACGCAAACACCAAGACCAGTAGTGCTCGCATCAGTCGCCACCACCTGGTCAAGCCAGCCCGCCGCGATGTCCGCGTAGACCAGCGGCAAGATCGCGGCAGCGATGAGAAGCTCCCTCTTGACGCTGGGCCAGAGGTTCTTGCAGTCATTACCAGCGGACTCGGCAAAGGCAAATGCGGCCGCAATGCAGGATAGACACGGGAGTCATGAAGAACTTCACCCAGCACGACGAGTACCAGCAGCACTACGACATCTTCATCAGCAACACCGTCGCTTTCAGCAACCTTGGGCCCATGGGTGTCTTCCCAGAGCCGGATGTCCACGACTCCGGTTTCCAGGCCAAGTTCTTCGATGAGATCTCGGAGTCAGCAGGGGCCGACACTGATGTCTTGACGGAGGCGGTCGGGGCCCACTTCCTGACGAACGCCAAATACCTTCCTGCGACCTCGGAGTAGGCAAATTCCGATGTCCAGACCGTTACTCAATTCATGCATGGGCCAGCCTCGGGCGAGGGCTCGGCCGCACCGACTTCGACTTGGGACGCTGTGGGATTGGCGGACCTCGTCGGCTCCGACCCCGCACCCAGCAGCCCCTGCTGCCACACTGTCGGCATCGCCGCCGAGATCTGGCTGTCGTTCGTGGCCTTCCTCGGCCTGTACTACTTCTTCGTGACGGCATTCTTCCGGAAGCCGAAGGGGAGTCCGACACCCACGCCTCGCCCACGCCGGGGCGTCGATCAGGGAGTACAGCATCCTGATGATGCGCGTCTTTTCCAAAGCAATTTTGAGGGCAACTCCTCCTTACAGTCTTTGGAGTTGGATCCTGATTTGATGTATCATGCCCCCTTGAGGGGAGCGGCCTCGAACCTTCTCGGCGGCGGTCGCACCAAGGACATCAAGAACGAGCGCAGCACGGACCTTCTGGAGGGCATCCGGAAGCTCCTGGACATCCACACGGCCGCGCCTCAGCAGCACCCGGCCGCCGCGAACCACTCCCACCCCAAGCGCAAGCCGAAGCCGACGCTTCACGACGCCCTCAGAGGCGCCCTCGGCAAGGCCAAGTGTGACCAGGGACTTCTGGGCAAGCTTCGGTCCATCCACCGGGCCGTGGACGCCGGCCACATCACCCTCGGGGACAACGAGGCACCCCCGAAAGGATCTCGGCGAGGCGCAGCCGACGGTGGCAGAGGGTGTGGCGGCGGCGCCTCGGCTGGCAAGGGCCCCAGCTCTGAGCAGCCCCCTGCGCCCACGGTCACGCCCCATCGTCCAGACACAGCATCCGCCTATGGAGCTGGCAAGGGCGAGGATACCGGGCCACCTTGGGCCCTTTCCCAACGCGAGTGGTCCCAGGCCACCGTCTCCAAGCAGGGGTTCGTGTTGGCCAAGCTGAGGAACGGGGAGCTCCCGTCTGCTGGCCACACTGCCTGCCTCGCCGAGTCGACGGACATGGCCGACGAGATGTTGGCCCTCTGGCGTGCGCACCACCAGAACGACACAGACGCCTCCTTGACAGTGGCCGTCGTGGCGACCAAGGAGGACTCCTGGCAGCCAGACGGGGCCACGGGCATTTTGGCGCACCTCACTCTCGTAAAGCTGGACAAGCAGGCCGTGAAGCTGGTCAAATACATCATGCTCGGCAAAGCCGTGGAGCCCCCTGCGAGCCCGACCATCAAGGATGTCAAGCAGGTCCCGAAGCGGCAGGGCACCGTCACGGTCCGGCTCACCGTCTTCGCCGATTACCTGTCGGACAAGCTGTCGCTGTTCTCCGCGAACCAGGCCCTCAAGGTGGTGTGGCCAGCAGCAGGCAAGGGCATGCTGTTCGGTTGTTGGCGTCCCAATGGCACGAAGGGCAAGGATCCCTTCTCGTACACCATGTACGTCACTGGCACGCCGGCCCAATGCAGCGATCTGTTCAAGATCAGCGGCAAGCACGGCGTTTTCGTCCAGCACCTGGCGTCCTTTCGTGACCAACGCCATCGGACGACTGTGGCGTGGGTCGCCCGGCCTGCTGGGCTCACGCCGCTCGAGTACCGCGACCTGGCCCTCCAGGAGGGTAATGGCAAACCACTCGTGCACAGAATGGGGGGTGGCCCTGATCTGGGCTACGAGCGCGGCGGCATTGACGCACGACAGTGTCCTCCGCACATCTGGCGAGCTACCACGCCGCGGTGGTGGCGCACGACCGACCTCGAGTCCTTCCTGGAGGCCAACGACTGGCAGCAAGTGCAGGTCCTCACGCACCTCAGCCCCGGCTCCTGGCGCGTCCGCGCGGGCGCCCGGCCGCTGGCAACGACCACGTACAGATACGAGGCAGGCTTCGACGACGACATGGGCCACGTCACCGTCCTTCCCCTGCCGCGCAAGGTGAAGTCCACCAGCGAAGGACGTACTCTCAGACAGCCGGACTTCCCGTGGCTGGACACGGAGGTCCCGGCAGCCCCGCCGCAAGGCGATGCCCCCGCCCCGCCGGCGGGTGCAGCGGCTGCGGCGAGCGATCCCCCTGGCGAGGGTGATGCGCCCATGCCCGCGGCAGCGCCAGCGGCGCCCCCTGCTACGGGCAAGGGCGCTGACCAACAGAAGAGGCCAGGAACCCAGAAGACGGACGGGTCTAAGAGGCTCAAGCTGGACGACAAGCAGATCGTGCGGGACGCGAACTGCCTCTTGGACGGCATGGAGATTGTGGAGGCCGGGGGCCGTGGCGCGTGCGGCTACTGTTCCATCGTCGCCGCCGGGAAGCTCACCCGCGACGCCTCCTTCAGCACTGCTGCCGTCGGCGCCATGGAGAAGATCTGGGTCGACGCGGGCACGCTGAGGGTCCAGACCGCCCAGCTCTTGAAGAAGAACTCAGACGTCTGGAAGCCCTACTGGGCCCAGGGCCCCAAGCATATTTCACACACAGGCCATACCTTCGACGAGTACGTCGCGAAGTGCTCGGCCCCAGACTTCTGGATGGACGAGTTGCAGCTCAACGCAGCGTCCGCCGAGCTCAAGCGCCGGATAACCGTGGTCTATCGCGACGGCAAGCAGGGCTGGGCCAGGCGCACAGTGGGCCACCAGCACAAGAGCAAAGGTTGGTTCGTCCTCCTCCTGGACGAGAGCCACTACCGAGCAGTCCGGCCGCCAACGGACGGATTCCCAGCGAGCCTCTGCGAGGACGCGGGCGCCCCCATGTCCAACTTCGGGCGAGGAGGGGGCCGGGCCTTCAGCTGACTCACGGACTCCCCCCAGGGCTCCGCCGCGACGCGGACGAGCCGGAGGTCCAGCAGACCTTCTTCTTCGGCGCCGCCGCCGGGCCGCTGTGCTCGGACAGTGGCCGCCTCCGCGGCCATCCAGGAGTTCGAGACCTACCTCGCCTCCTTCTTGCACACGTACCTTGCAAGGGAGCTTGCGGACGACGTCAAGCGGCTGCTCAAGCAGACGGTGGGTGCCCGCAGGCGCTGGGCTTCCCAACACCAGCAGGCCACGCCCGCCACAGTCGAGGCCCAGCGTGTGATGCTGAACAGGGATACGGAGGACCTCCGGAGGAAGTGCTACTACCCCGGCGACCTCTACGCCTGCCCGCGCGGGTGGCGGGCCAAGAGCACTCCGGCCGCAGCCCGTGCCAACGCGCGGCAGGCCGAGCGACATTGGCGTTCCTGCCAGCCCGGCACTCGGTGGGAAGCCTTGGATGATGCTTGCCATCAGGCTTCTTTGGCTCCAATGCGTGATCCTGCCATCCAGGACCGCAAGGTAGCTAAGGCATGGGAGCGTCACCAGACGCTGCGTGCCAGCATGCCAGCGTCGATCGCGCGGTGCGCCCACGACCTCGACGGCGCTACGGCGCAGAAGCTCCGCCGGGCCAAGGGGGGCAAGTCTACCTTCTACACGTGCCGCCGGTGTGGTGGCTCGTACGTGCTTGCCTCCGTGTGGAAGCTCCCATGCCCAGCCATTCCCCCTGCTGACCGCCCCACTTGCGTCGACTTCGAGCTGCAGTGCCGGGACGCTGGGTCAGCGAGGTCTTCGAGAGCCATGGCCGTGGGCACGGCCAGGACAGCAGGCCACGCAGCGCTAAGAGAGCGCCCAAGGAACCTTTCGGCAGCGGTTCCTTCAAGCGCAGGCTCACTGTCAAGCGGGAGCAGCCCTCGAAGAAGCGGGTGCTGGCGCCCAGGGCCGCCCTTTGACTAGGGGCGCAGTGCGCCGGGGGCCCGCCTGGCTACCGGCGCCCTCGCGGCAAGGGTGGCTGCTTAGGCCCCCTGGCTGCCACCCGGGTGGGGGAAGCCTCCCACCCCGGCCCTCCGCGCTTCCAGCGGCGGCCGCAGCAGTTCCCGACTGGCATGGTCATCTGGGGCTGCAACGTGAATGGCCTCAAGGACAATAAGCCCGTCGGCGACGCGGCTGCAACGAGCAAGTGGGCACGCGTCCAGGGCCAGGCCTTGGCTGCAGGCGCACACATCATTGGCCTCGTGGAGACCCACATGGACAGCTTCACAGCAGACCGCTTCGGCGCACAAGCGTCCATAGCTGGCTTCTCATCGTATTTGTATTCTTCGGGTACAGCGAGGTCTCGGGGAGTCGCTCTTCTCGGACCTCCAGAACTACGTGCGGACCCGTGGGCGTGGGAGCCAGATTTTCAAGGCCGCGTTGTCTCCGAGCTTCTCCACAGCCACGGCCAGGGCACCATGTTGGTTGTCGTCATCTACGCCGACGTTCACAGCCAGGAGCAAAGACAGCGCCTATGTGCTGCGGTTGCCGCACGCGTCGCTGCCGCCGACCTTCCTGCAGTTGTTTTTGGGGACTACAACTGCGAGCCCATGGACGAGGAGACCGCGTCCTTCGCTGGCAGTCTCGATTGCGCGCACCATTGCCTCCCTGGAGGAGAACCTGTGTGGCACCACACCCACGGCGACCGCTTCATCGACTACGCCGTGTGCAGGCACCTCGTCGTCAACACCTTCGGCACCGACACGGCCATTAGTGACCACAAGGCCATCGTTTTCAGCGTGCAGCGCGAAACGGAGGCTCTCGTTCAGACAATTCAGCGTTTCGTTCCTCTGGAGCCCCCGGCCAACCTGGAGGAGTGGGACAGCGACTGGAAGGACCAGATGCACTATTTCGAGGGCGCCTGGGACGCGGCAGAGGCAGCACGCGATCCAGCACGTCTCTGGGAGCTTTGGTGCGACCTCCTGGAGGCGTCGTGCGGCGTGCCCCCGGAGCGCAGGCATCGTTGGCAAGGCACTGCGCTGCGCCGCTGGCAGCGGGTTTGGCGTGGCTGCCACGGCCTGCGCCAGAGTGTTCAAGAACGACGGCTTCACCGTGTTCTTCGTCGCCTACACCACCTTCTGCACGGCCCCCGGGCTCGTGGCGATGCTGGAGGGGGACGGGGAGGACGAGGAGGAGGACGACGAGGACGAGATGACGATCACGATCTTCTCCAGGCCATCGACAAAGGTCTGCAAGGCTTGGTCCGGGACGGCATCCTACCGAGCATTGGGGACAGCAGTCCAGCTGCTGCCGCCGCGGCCATTTCAGCTAAATTGGAGCAGCTCCACGCCGCCCACAAGGAAACCCGACTCCAGGAGTGGCGCCGCCGACAGCAGGAGGGAAACATGAAGACCATCTACACCTACGTGTCTGGGAAGAAGACCAAGCCTACAGCTGCCGCCCGGGGCACCAAGATCCCGGCGGCCCTGCTGGCGCGGGCGCCACGAGTCGCCCTCGAGCTGCTGGGGCGCATCGGCGATCTCATCCGCGACACAGGGAGGTGGCCGAGCGCTCTGAGGAGCCAGGAGGTGGCCATGATCCCCAAGCCGTCTGGGGAGGGCCTTCGCCCGATTGGGGTCGCGCAGACAGTCGCCAGGGCCTTCAAGAAGATTATGGTTGAGAAGTACAAGCGCTGGGCCGAGCAGGTCCAGCCCACCAACGCCACCGCTGCCGTGCTTCTCGTCGATTTCGCCATCGACAAGGCCTACGAGGACGACGCCGGCCTCGTTGTCCGGCAGAGCGACCTCAGCAACTGCTTCACACGGCTACAGGCCGAGCTCGTCATGCAGGTGGCCGGTCTCTTCGGCATGCATGACAAGGACGCCGTGTTCTTGTTCTCCGACAACAGTGCCCGCAACACTGTCGTCAAGGTTGCGGGGTACGCCAGCGACTCCATGGTCCCGGGGCGTGGCCTCGCGCAGGGTGACCCGGGTTCGCCGCTCGGGGCTGCCATCCTTGCCGGGGCGCACGCCAGGCGACTCGCCGCGGACCACGACATCATGTTCACCACGTACGTGGACGACAGGACCATGACTGCCGACGCCCCGCAGGAGGTGGAGTCGGCCGCCGACACGCTGGCCTACCTCGACTGGCTCAGCGGGCAGGAGGAGGACCCTGGTAAGTTGGCAGTGGCCGCCGCCAACGTCCAGGGCGGCAACTACCAGAGCTACGTGGACGTCCTCGGCGTCCGTCTGGACCTCTCTGGGGCGAACCCTCCAGAGGCTGCCCCGCGGGCCCTGCGCCGAGCCCAGGAGCTGCTCGCGCGGCTCACGAGGATCCAGCGAATCAGCTGGGCGGCTCGCCTGCCACGGCGCCGGGTGCGGCAGGTCGTCCTGGCCAACATCGGCATCTTGCGCTGGGATGCGCCGGCAACAGGAAGACATGCGCCGTGGTGCGTCCTGCCCGACAAGACCCTCCAGGCCCTGCGGGCAGCCTTGGAGACAGCCCTCGCAGGGCGGCGCCGATACGCCTCCTGGAGACACCGAGGGGCCGCATGGAACGTATCTCCCAAAGCGTGGAAGATCGAGCCAATGGGCGTGGCGTTGCACGCGGCCGTGGGCATGCTCAAACGCACCCTCGGCGGCCCTCTGGAGGCCTTCGTCCGCCAGCGGTGGAGGCCGGCCCACCCGGCAGCTCGCCCGTCAGCTGGGTGGCTGTTGCGGACCCGCGAGCTCTTGGACTCCATGGGCTGGCGCACGGCCCGTGACCCATTCGAGGTGGAGATCGGCGACCTGACCTTCTCCCTCACGAACACGACCCGCAGTGGGCTCGACCACATGGTGCGGGAGGCCTGGCGCTCGTGCATGATGCAGGCCGGCGAGGCGAAAGTCAGCAAGCAAGACGTGGTCAACATCCACAGCCTTGATGGGAAAGTGCTCCGGGATTTCCTGGACAGCTACGACAACGGCCCAGATCACAGCTGGGCCTGGCGGTGCGTCGTCGGGGGCGAGCCCAGCCCAGACCGCCTCCACCACGTCGACAACGCTGTGGCCCAGGACTGCGCCGCGTGCCGCACCAGAGCCACCGCGAGACACATCCTCTGGCAGTGCCCTGCCACCGAAGCAGTCAGACACAGTCGTGGCCTACGTCTGCCAGAGCTCGCCCCGGAGCTCCCCGAGCCTGAGCGTTCAGCCCTTCTGCTGAATGGGTGGATCCGCGCAGCGTGGGACGTCCCCGCCGGCGTGTCCAGCGACGTTCACGCTGCTGCCACCAGGCGGCGGCGCCAACATTGCCAAGCGCATTCTCGCATACAAGGTCGTGGTCGTTCGTCCACATTGCGATCGTTTTCTCGCCGCCGTTTCTGGTGAGGCCTAAGGTGTGCTCTGGTGGGGTGTAAGACCGTGCTTCGCACCGACATCTTGCCTCACCCTCCACACCTTGCCAGGTCTGGGTCACCGAGGACAACGCCAAGACCACGCCAGGCAGAGCCTTAACCTGGCCGGCAGGGCAGCTGCGGCAGATCAAAGGGTTGGCGCAGCAACAGGTCGAGCGGGCCTCCAGCGACAAGGGCCCAGAGCAGCCCACCACTACTGCAGGAGGCTACGAGGGGCAATCCAGGCGTGCCGCACCGCCGTGCAGCACACAGGTGAGTTCGGCAATTCTTACTCACCCTGGATGACTACAACGAGTGGCACCACCTGGCCCAGACCACCCTCGAGCAGATCGAGATCGCAGTTGGAACGGACGATGTACGAGGTGAACCTCTCGGTGATGGTGATCGCAGCTGGCGAGGTGTGCATCTTCGGAGGCCGCCGAGGTGCCCGCGGGCCCTCCGCGCTCGTTTGGAGCGCGGGGCGGAGAGCGCGCAGCCGCTGTAGGGGCAGCGCGGGCGGGGTGGAGGGGCAGCTCGCCGAGCACCCTGGGGCCCCACCCCGAGGCAGGCGCAGCCACGCGATCGCCCCATGGTGGACAGTTCGACCAGTGACGAGCAGGACGCGACGCTCAGCTACGGCAGGGATGCGACATGCCCAGCCAAGAACCCCAACAATCCTGATGCCGATCCCTTCGCAGATCTGGATGCAGAGCAGGACATTCTCGAGAGCGTGTTCGAGGGCCACGGCGACAACGGCCCTATAGCCGGCGCTGGGAATGTGGCTGAGCCTAGGGGCCCCGCGCCCACTGGGGAGGCTGCAGTCCCAGCGCTGTCGCACCAGGTGAATGGCCAGGCAGAAGCGCGCCCTCAGCTTCCTGCGGCCGCGGAGCCGCCGGGTCAGGTCAGCCACCGCAAGACCGTCGAGGCCATCCTCGGCGAGATTGAGCTCCTGGCCAGGCTCGCCGAGCACGTGGGGAAGTGCATCCTCGGCGGCCTGCGACATGGCAGGCAAGTGAAGAGCTGGCGGAAAGCACTGGCCGAATATCACTCTGACGGGGAGCGCCCATGCTACGCAAGTGGACCAAGGACCCCGGCGAATGCGCGGCCGAGGTCGTGGGCGGCAAGGTCGAGCGCATCCAGGATCGCCGCGCCCGCCCAGTGGCCCTCACCACCAAGCACAGGATGGAGCGTGCCAAGGTGTGGGGCGCCAGGCCGCCCGACAAGCCCGACGTGATCCCCCTCCCCGCGCGCGGCCATCGCGGCCGCCATCGAGACCAATAGGAACCGGCGCCGCGAGCACCACCTCACCGCGAAGCACGTCAGCGAGGCCAGCCGGTCCTTTAAGGCCGAGACCTGCAAGCCTGGCGGGATCCACCCGCGCCGCCTTGGCCGGCTCAGTGACGTGGGGCCGCTCGCCCAGCTACCCGACCTCATCGCGGTGGCTGGGGCATTCCCGACCGACGAGCAAGATGTGATGACTGTCCAATGCATCATGCCAGCTGGAGGCCGCCGACCCATCGGGCACTCGAAGAGCCTGCGCCGAGTGTGGAAGAGGCGCCGCAAAGGGCAGCTCCGCGCCCGGCAGAAAGACCTAGACGAGCGGGGCACCCACGCGCTCCAGGCCCACTTGCTGGACCAGCTGAAGGCGCAAGGTGCGCCACCGTTCACGTCGACGACTTCTGCCATGAGGTGGCAGCGCGCAAAGGCGCCGCGCGCGTGGACATCTTGGCGGAGGCCGAGCGCGAGCTCGAGAGCGCGCTGCGCGACGAGCTCAAGAGGCAGGTGGCCGACGCGAAGGGCGGCGCCATGGGCGACAGCGACGAGCTCACGCTCGAAGGCAATCGCAAACTTGCGTGGCTCGGCCCCCCCCCCAGTCCGAGGGTGCATCGCAGCAGGTCAATCGCGATAGTGGCCGCAGCCGTCGTCAGCCAGGCAGGCCTTCCCCGACGGCCCGCCACCTTGGAGCCGACTTTCGCGCAGGCAGGCGACGACGCGGAGCAGTAGCGCGCGGCGCCCACCCCGGGCCTGCGCGACGGGGCAAGGTGGAAGGCGGCGAAGCTGAGGATGGCCTTCTATTTTTCTCCAGCACAAGCTTGAGAAGGCGCTGGGGCGAGGCATCGGCAACAGTGACAACAGAACGCAGCAGCATCGAACAAGTAAGAAACTCTGGGCCTGTTAAATTCTAAATTCGTGTGGGATTGAAAGGCGGAAGAGCAGAGAAGGGAGGGAGGGTCGGGCGGCTCGCGCGGCTGATTAGAGCCAACGGTTGCGGATCACCAGATTGACAGGCCAACCCGATAAACTATCTCCAAGGCCTTCTATTTTTCTCCAGCACAAGCTTGAGAGGGCGCTGGGGCGAGGCATCGGCAACAGCGACAACAGAACGCAGCAGCATCGAACAAGTAAAAAATTCTGGGCCATATTCACGTCCAGATTCATCAGTGCACTGGTAATACCGCCTAGCATTTACAAATGTCCCACAACCGAAAGAGCCTACGATTATTTGACGCATCTACAAGAGACTTGGCCAGAATCTTGCACAGCTCCTTGGGGCAAGGCTGTGCTACTGCTGTCCAAAACTGGCCACCGGGGGCCTTGCCCTCAAGCACTTGGCGAGGCCTCTGGGACCTCTCACAAGTGCCTTTACCGTGGCACTTTCGCCCAAGAAGCTCCGGAGAAACGTGCCAGAGGCGAAGCCGGGTTCGTTTACGCCACGGCTCACCCCACATACAAAAATCCGTGAACACATCATGAACATTGGGGAGCCTACAGAGACCTAGCACAGGCGGACACAGCCAAAGACGAGAGAAGGCGGGATTCTCGAGCCCTCCAGGGATCCCTCTGGTGTGAGCTAACTTAGCAAGCACAACAGAGACATGCATCAAACTGTTACCCAACTGCACTCGCATTTGATCGGGACTTGAGAGGCCTGGCAGCCCAAGAGGAAACTCTTTGGACCTCAAAGGTCCTGGCCCAGACTTGGTATACCTACGGGCCAAAGAGAAAGAAGTGCACGGGGTTCCTAACCACAAGATGCTCACCTCTCCACTGAGAATCCATCCTTTCAGAACTTCGACACTGGACGCCTTGGTGAGATCAAATTGCGCTCCTCGAGTGATGTCCCACTCGACCGTGGGGATTCCTCTGGCACGAAGCGCCGAGGCGAGGCGGCCTGACCCAGCGAAGACCTCGACGGCGACCCTGTCTCGCCCCAGGCGCACTCTGTGGAGCGTCGCGTTGAGCAGCTGGCGAACAGCTGCGGCAGCCTCTGCATGCTGAGTCGCAGCCGCTCCTGCACCACGGGCGGCACCTTCGCCACTTGCAGCGCCAGGCGGCCGTGCTTCTCGTACCTCCGCACGGACAGGCGAGCTCGCCACCTGCCTCGCTTGGCCACCTCCTCGAGTGACCTCCTTCCCACGATCCGATCGTGGCTTGCTCCTCCGTGCCGTAGGCAGTACAGCGTGGCACCGAGGCTTTGAAGTCCCAGCACCGCCAGCGCGTTCTCGAGCTCCTCGCGCAGCTGCGCGTAGCCGAAACTCCACAGCGGCTCGCGGGGCTTCAGCCGCGCCTTGAGATCCCTGAGCGCGGGGGTAAGCCATTGGAGCTCGGGCACGTCGAGCGGCAGGGAGTCGTCCAGCTCGCCTGTCTTGCTGGGCACCAGCAGCTCCTTGGGATGAAGCAGCAGCGTCCACCAGCGAAATCCGGCCTGCAGCCCGGCCGCAGGCGGCACCAGCTGAAAAGCCTTCATCGCCAGGAGCTCTCCGGGCCGAAGGTAGCAGTGGAACATGAGGCAGAGAGCGCACGCCATCGCCACCTCCTGCTTCAGCAGCAGGAGCTCCAGCACGCCGCAGAGCACCAACCACGGGAGCGGGGGGCGAGAGTGGCCGGGCCGCTTGCGCTTCCAGCCCAGCAGCGCCCGGCTGCTCCTTGGCAGCACCACCCGCAGGGGCCGCCCCAGCGCCGGTCGCGCCCAGAGCACCGCCGACAGCAGCTTCGCAGCCCTGTTCGGCCGCACTCCCTGCGCGAACTCGTCGTTCAGGTACTGCAGCAGGGCGTCGTCCCACTCCAGCGCGCTCCAGCTGGGCAGCGACTCCACTCCGAGCCAGTTGCAGAGGCCACTGAGGCACTTCAAGTAGTTCTGCTGGGTAGAGGGCCTCACCGCTTCCAGCTCCAGTCCTGACACGCTCGAGCCCAGGAGGCGGTGCCACGGCAAGGCAGTCGACCTCTGGGTCGCGGCAGCGGGCCGGGGGCGTCTGGCACTGGCCCTCGCCTGACCCGAGCGCGCGCGGCCCGACGAGCCCAGAGGGCGCTTCCGCCCATGGCCGATCGCCGGCGCACTCGGAGCAGGCAGCGGCTGCGCACTCGGTGCGGCCGCCACGAGCCGACGGCGCTCCATCGCCCCGCAAACGGCGAGGCTCGAACCGCCTTGAAGGACCGTCGGCGGGGTTCCACTCTGAAGGGATCCATCGCACTGACACGCGACAAGACGATGCGAGCTGAAGAGCTGTGAAGTGTCTCAACTGGGCGAGGATGGGGAAATCCGAGGCTCTTCCTTTTGCAACTGCACAGCAAATACACATGCTGTCTGACAAAAATAGAAGCCTGCACCCATGATGCGCCACTCGCCGCACCTGCCGCCGCATGGCCCACAGCAACGCCTCGCCCTCCAGAAGGTGGATGGGGGCACGGTGGCGCCACCGTCTCGAGGCTACGGTCTTCCACGAGGTGGCCTTGCAGAAGTCCGACGGCACGTCGGGGAACGGGGAGTCGCCGACGGCCCCCTCACGCAAGGCGCGTGCACGCGAGCCCTCGGCCACCAGCTCGCGCTCCTTGAACCTCCAGCGTTCTCTAACTCGGCCGATGCGCCCGACGTCGCGTGGGTCCGCGGAGCGCTCCACCGCGCCCAAGCCAGTCATCGAGGCGTCCGCGGCCATCACGCTGGGGGCCCATGCGCCGCGCAGATCCGCCCACACCAGCGGCAGCAGCGCTCGCACCCAGGTCA